TACTATATACACAAATACAAACATGTATCCTCTTATGGGACAATTGCCACAACTACTAAACTGTCATAGATTCCTATCCACCTAGTAAATGCCACTGCCCTTCAGCATGTGTCAATTACAGCAAAGCTCTACTAACCACAGGGTCACTTGTATTAAATATGTATATGTCTGTCTCATCATTTCCATTCTTCTGTTTCTTTGGTTAAAAAGAAGAATTTTCAACTGATTTTTTTCAATCAAAATGGATGCTGTATTAGTGATTCTAAAATCTTAATTGATATTATTGAAAATGCTTATTGTAGTTAAAATAACTCAAACCATTTTGGAAATCTTTATCACTGAAATATGTCAACAAAGTTGAATTTTGTTTTGACAATGAAGTGAGTTTACAAATTTATTACAATTTGGCGAAATGAACTTGTTGGACACAGCAATACATGTACAGAATGAAGAAGTTTATACTGCTGATGTTAGTTAAAGGCACTCAAAAGATATTTTAATTAAGATAGTGTTAACCATTGTTTTAATTGTGTAGTATGAATCATTTTTTGACGGCAAAATGGAAAAGTAGTGTACTTTTCTTGACAGAACATTTGCTACTATTTTTAACTTCAGTATACTGTTATTTAATATTATTATGTTATTCTATTGTATTAGGAACGTCGAGATTGATAATATACATGTAGCATTAATTGAGAATTGTGCATTTGTTTTAATTTTATTAATAAATTTTTCATGTAATATAATTTTCGGTCATTGTTTACTCTTTAATTTTATCAAATATTTTCCCTGCAAAATTGTATTTGGCTGTATTTGGGGACTGTTTATTTGCCATACAAAGAAAAGATCATACCAGGCCACGAGTTGCATGGTCATTTGCATCTCGCCTAAATTTGTATTCATTATATATTACATTATTACATGTAACTATATTGTAGATTTTAGATATCTAACTTGATATGTTTATTTTAACACCTTTATTACATTTTATAAACCAAAATAGATATGTAATTCATTCTATAAGTTTGTAATAAAGAAATATCTTATCTTATATAGTCTCATCGGCTTTACTCATCAGGTATCAAAACTTCTTGCATTTGTGGTCTTGGCTAATCCACAGTCATAATTTCTTCAGAATTAATTCCATGCACAGTAATCGTCCTACATTTGTTGATAAACTGCACAGTATGTGTTGATATTGTGCATCTGAAAAGAAGGCTTTATAATCTTCTAAACTTTGTAATTGGGTAAAACAATTTAAAAACAAAATCACCTGTAAACACTTGCAATGACTGTAGCCCTTTACTTTCACAATAAAAAATTGAATGTATATTCCTTAGAGTCCAAATAGAGTACATGGCACTTGCAGGAAAGATATTTCATCAGCATATATTACTGTATCCTCGCATGTATTGTATGAATTGTTATATATTAAAAACATTAAATTCTTGTTATGATATCTTGCATTACTTTCACAATTGAATATATATCGTTTAAAGGAGTTGGCCATTGGACATTTTACTCCTGGTATGTCAATCTGAACAGTTTCTAAGATGAGAATCCATTTGAAAAGCACTAAATAGCAGACATATCGTTAAAAACTTGCTTTGAAGAATTGCATATTGGATTATTTTAAATCACGACACAGTTTAGTATGAGTTTTGAGGCTAATTACCTTTATTACCTTGAAATAGTTTTAATTAAGGCAAATAATTAATATAATATATTTCTATGGCAACG